GAAGCCACGTTGGAACCCAGCCGCGTTGCAGTGACGGGGGTTGGCCCAGCAGGGAGGAATCTCAGCTTTCGCTTCTGAGTATTCGTGCACAGTCTGGCCGTCAATGCGCCAGCGTAGCATGATTAAGTTCGCGTTGCGTCAGTGCTCACCGCCGCAGGGCTCCTTCCCACTCGGACGGAGTGACGAGGCTTCATGCATCACGAGGGGCACGGGTCACACGCGAGGTCTGTCGCACGCCGTCTGCACCGCTTCCTCAGAGAAGACTGCGTTTGCCCCGAGCCCTGGTGGCATTCTCCTGGGGTCCAATTCGGCGGCTCGCCCAGGGGGACGGCAGAGCGGGTTTTGTTTGGGGAATGTGTTTATGTGTATATATATATATCAAAATAAAGGCTCAGAAGGCCTCCAAGTTCGTGGAAAGTGTCCTAAGTTTTTTCTCTGAAGCCAATGGGGCTTTTCAGAAAGATGGAGGGCTTCTGAGAAGCCGCGCCGCCTTCCGAGAAGGCCTGCCCCCTCACACTTCCCCCCTCGAGCTCGCCGCCGAGCAATGGGCCCTGGAGGACACTTGTGAGGGGGAAGGCCACTCAGCCCAATCGTTGCCAATCGTTGCCTTCGGAAAACCGTACCCTGACCATGTCTTCTGAGCGCCTCTGGGTTGGGAAGAACGCGTGTCTCTACCTTGCTCACCGACCACAGCATACCTGAAGCCACGTTAGCCTGCTTGATGACGCGCCAGTGCCCGCCTAGAGCTATTCCACCCGAGGCCGCAAAGGTGAAGTCGTGCGCGTCTGTTATTAGGGCCTCACAGTCAGCAGATCTGCCAGGGATAACCCCACCTCATCCCAATAAGAACTGGTCACTGTATGGAACCATGATGGTATGACATGGTAGCTGTTATGGGTACCTCATTCGCACTCTCCTCCTGCATTCCCTCCTTCTCGTCCTTGTCGCATCCTTCCCCCATCCCTCCGAGCAGGGACCCAGTGCTGCTTCGTCGCGTGGCCGAGTCTGCTCAAACGACGGGCCCAAGGCCCGGAAGGCGACGGTAGGCCCCCCAGCATGGTGTCTCGGAGGCGCCTCGCCGTGGCGCTGGCTTGCCTTCTGGCCGCGGTGCCCTCGATGGTGTTCCTCGTCCACCAGGACCTGGTCGAGCAGCTCGTCATGGACGAGGAGGCCAAGCTGCTCGCGGCGCAGGCCGCCCACGCAGCGGCGCAGAAGCAGCCCACGGCGGCCAGTCGGTCTGCGGTCACCGCCGCGCCTGCACGCGCGCCCGCGACTGCCTCGCAGCGCTCCGAGCCGCTGGCGACGGCGGCTGAGGGGCCCTCTGCGATGACGCGGGCTGCAGCAGGCTCGCTGCGGAGGGAGGCGGCGCACGGGGGCGCCGTCGCCCAGGCCGCTGGGGGAGGGCCTGGCTCAGCAGGCTGGCCGTAGGTCCACAGGCATGGTGCCAGGGCAGCTTGCCCAGAGGGGGGGGGGGTGGGCGGAGCGCGGCGGAGGGGGGGGAGGGGCGGGGCGTGGTTGAGGCGTGCGGGCTGCTGCTCCTCCTTCTCCTCCTCCTCTTCCTCCTTCTCCTCCTCCTCCTCCCTCCTCCTCCTCCTCCTCCTCCTCCCCTTCCTCCTCCTCCTCCTCCTCCTCCTCCTCCCCCCTCCTCCTCCGCATCGTGCCAAGGGTGGGGGGCGGGACGCTGTCGCGGGAGGCGGTGCTCCAGGGCGCCGGCGCCGAAGCCTCCCGAGGACGGGGTCCTTAGCTCGGCCTTCTCTTGGAGTCGGCGGGGGCTGCGTGGAGGTCGTGGCCTCGGGCTCGGTCTCGGCCCTGGGGCTCTGGGCTCGCTCGGGCGCGGGCCCTTGGCGCGGGCGAGGGCCCGGGCCCGGGGCTCGAGCTCGGGCTCGGGCCAGGAGAAGCCCTCTCAGGAGCCTGCGATACCCTCAAAGAGGCTCTTCGCCCTCTCAGGAAGCCGCTCGTTTCGTCCAGCCCTCCTTTTACCAGCCTGGAACATATCCCTATCCATATGTTTGACATCACCTCACCTCGATGCCGATCTTAAGGATTCCCTCAGTTTTTGAGGGCCTATCCCTAAGTAAGATTGTCCTCGCTTTTTGCTCGCCCATCTTAGGGATAGGGATACGTTCGAGGCTGGTTATCCTTGGCGCGCCGCCAGTCTGGTGAGGACCTGAGCTGTCTGGGGGAGATCCCCTGCAGGCGATTCAGAGAAGCATCCTGTCTCTGCCTTGCTGTCTTTGCCCAGCGTTTCTTCAGCAGCCTCTCGAAGAAGGCTGGCCCGACGAGCTCGTACCACTTGTTCGTGGCATGCTGGTCTTCTCAACATTGAAGCGGGCTCAGCTCTTGGTTGACAATATTTCCCATGGTTGGTTTGCCCAGGTGTCTTGGCTGACTGGCTGGCTGCCTTCGTAAACGATCCGCGGGTTGATGTGCTCCTCTTGTGCGAGCTCCTTTCTGGATGGACACGCTTTGGAAGTTGGGCTCCCTCTGGGGGACCTGGTGGATCGTCGGTCAGCCAGTCCATCGCCCAGCGACGTCGCTCTGGCATCAGGCCTCCACAGAGCTTCAAGGCAGCAGTGCAACATATTCACGCTGTGGGATTATCCTCGGGGTCCGCCTTTGTTCAGCGTGCTGAACGTCGAGTCTTGGCGCCGCCACTCTCGCCAGGTGTGCGGGGAGCCGATCTTGATAAGCGATGCCAACGTCAAGGCCTACATACCCGATTTGCCGGACGAGTATTTCCTGGTGGACCATCCGGCTGCAAAGTCGGACCTCATCCGCTACGCCCTACTGTACCATCACGGCGGTATGTATATGGATGCAGATTTCTTGGTTGTCCAGGATCTAGACGCCGTCATCGCCACCCTTGGCGTTTAAAACCCCGTGTGAAATGGAAGTGTTGCCCGAGGTGAGGGAGGATGGGCAAGACGAGGAGGAGGAAGTGGAGGAGGAGGAGGAGGAGGAGGACGAGGAGGTGGTGGATGAAGTCCGAGCAGGAGGAGGCCGGACGAGGCGACGGAGGATTCTCCTCTCGAGTTGGTTCGCGATTCGTTTACAGCGCGTGCTGCTAGAGACCAACCGGGGCTCGCAAGAGCCACAAGCCTAAGGCTCTCGTACCGGTTTGATTATTGGGCAGATTTCCCGTCTTTGGGCGCAGACCACACAACTCGCTCTTTGCCGCGCCTGCTTCTTAACTCATGCTCTGATGTTGAGCCGGTCCAGTACGCATGACGATGTTCGTTCGCTCGCTCATTCGTGTGTTGATTGAGCCGGAGGGCCGTGGGGTACATTCCACTTCGCACGGGAGAGTACGACCTCGTGTCGTACGCCAGCAGTAGCAGCGAGTATTCCATGTGCGAGAGAGACTTCAGCTCGAATTTCATTGGCGGCCGTAAGGGGAGTATATTTCATCAGCGCGTATGGGAGGCGCAAAAAACGATGCTTACAAGCCATTGTCCCATTGATGATTTACACACGCTAAAAGTATGCTGCTTCGACAAGCCCAAGGGCCAGAAGTGCCACGTGCCCTGGGCCTACATCGGCGAGAAAGTATCGCACCCGCTTCTCGCTGAGCTGCGCTTGGCAGGCCTTGAGGTGAGCTCTTTCTGTTTCCGCGGCGAGAGCTCGTTCGTACCCAGCCAGCTTGGCACGGTCTTCGCTCGCCATCCTGGGCTCGATGAGGGGCTCGCCTGGTGGCGCAAGCACAATGTGCCCCATCCGCTCGACCGGATCATGTACCACCTCTTCAGCGCAAAGTTCAGGTGGCGGGACATGAAGTGCGCAGGTCTGCTGAATGAGAGCTCTGTCATCGGCAGCCTGTACAGGAAAAGCTTCTCCACGGGGGGTGGGGGGGCCGAGGTGCCCCCCGGGAGCCCTGGCGTTCTGGACTTCTACAGGGCGCACCCGGAGTTCGAGTGCGCGGAGGTGGCCACCGTGTGCCACACGGTCCCTGCGCCCGCGGCCGCCGCGAAGCCCCTGGACGAGCTGCTCCGGCAGCAGCCGCCGAGGCCGGCCGCGGCCCCGCCGCGCGCGGGCCAGGCGGTCATCGGGGCGAGGAGGCGCCGGCCGAAGCAGAGGAGGTGACGAGAGCAGCCCGCAGCGGGAGGTGCCCCCCCCCCCACCCCCCCACCTGCCCCAGCCGTCGCGCGCGGGGCGTTCGAGGCCGCGGCCCAGCGCCGGCCGACTCGAGGGGCCTCGTGCTGTAGGCGCGCCGGCGGCTTTGAGGAGCGGCCGCTCGCCCGCGAGGTCGCGCGGCCGTCGGAGCCCGCCAGGGCTCCTCCGCGAGGCCGCCGCCCGGCCTGGAGGCCGGAGGCCACCGCACTCCGAGGGCAAGAGCATGAGCACGCAGTGCGCGGTCCGCTTCGGCTGGCCTGCGCCTTGGGCGCGGCCACTCGTGCACGAGGGGCCGCGGAGGGCGGGCACGTACAGTCGGGGCCCTGAAGAAGGAACCCTTTTGGTTGGGGAGGGGCTCCGCGTTCCTTAAGTGTTTCACAGCTTGCCGCAGGTTTTCCTTATGTTTTCGATCGGAAATCGAAGTTTAACTTATGGAAAAAAGGGGCCTCGTTCCTTATTTAGGGTTCCTTAGGTCAACGCCCCGACTGTATGCAGATGTCATTGCTAGTTGATGCGCTAGGCGTGCCAGGGTGTAGTATGTACGGTAGGTTCGCGCCGCGTTGCCGCGCGGGTGGCCCCAGTGCGGGCGATCAAGGTTGAGCGCCGCCAGCGGCCGAGGATCGGCTGGTAGTGAACGACCTGCCCTATCGGGAAGTCGCGATCCTTCGAGGTCCCACGGGCTGTCAGAGACCGGCGCCGACGCCATCACGACGCGAACCTGCCGTGAGCTCACCGAAGCCCGAATCGCAGGGAACGGCTCCACTTTGCAAGTGGGGCCGGTCTTCCGCGCGACAGCGAGCGGAAGGTCTCGGACCGCGGCGGTCAGCTCGAGGCTGCGAGGCACACAGTGATGCCGAGACTCCGACTCCACCGCTTCCCCCCGCCCCCCTGTCCCCCTCTTCTCCTGCCTGCCCTGAGCCACGCCCGGGGGTGATCCATCTCCAGCGACTTGTCTGGCCACTTGCCCCCGAGGCAATGTCGTAGAGCGCTGGATACGATTGTTTCAAGGCAGCAGGTGGCGGGAGGGTGTCGATAGCAATGGCTGCTCGAGATTCTTGGGGGCACGTCGTCCAAATCGGTGGGTATGGATTGCTCCCAGGCGCGGACCTAACAGAACGGTTTTCGACCCCAGCATCCGCTTTGTAGCCGTACCAAATCATCCCAACCACCAGTTTTCATTCATCCGCCCCATCTACTGGCGATGTTGGTATAGATGTGCAGCGGGAGTGCCCGACAAGGGGGGCGATCTGTTCTGCCCATGACCCTGCCTGAGGCGTGTGTCTTGCGGGGTGGGGGGGTGGGGTGTGCCTTGTGGGAGGGGGGGCGCAAGTCCCGGCTTGCAGATTGGAAGCGGTTGTGCTGTATATTTCTGCCCTGCTCAGTGCCATATAGGTCTGCCCCCGTGCGCCCCGCAGTGGCCCAGCGGTGGCTCGTGGAGCCTGTGCTCCCTGGGCCCGGCCGGGCAGCTGTGCCGCCGCGAGGCGGGGGCAGGCCCCCGGGCGGTGCTGGAGCCCCGCGCCTCCCGGGCCCGACCTGAGCAGCACGGTCGCACGCGGAGCGGCAGCCCGGGCCCTCCTGGCCTGGCCCAGCAGCCCCTGCGGCTGCGTGGCGGGCGGGCTCCGGCGGGGCGGTGGAGCACCGTGCCCTGCGGGTCCGGCCTGCAGAACGGCCGCTCTTCGCCGAGCGCATTCCTTTACTCGCAAGGTGCCTACCCGCAAACGTCCGGAAAACACCTGTCTGCTGTGGTGTCATTTATCGTAGATCCCCCGCGAGGGAGCCAGGCCATTTGCGAGTAGTTATTTTGCAAGTAGTGGAACGCGCTCGTCAAGCTCTGAAGGCACGAGGGGCAGGGGAAGAGCGACGCCGCCACCACCAGCGCGAGAATCCAGGGGAGGCCCCTTTGCTGTTGTGGTCTCCCCTGCCGGCTCGAGACATCCTCTGATCCCAGCGCGGGGAGGCATCTCGGACCTGACCGCTGGAGGTGACACCCCTGGTGGGGGCGATGTCGCTTTTCTCTCCGCCGAAGTGCGAGGAGTGGCTCCTGTGCTCTGCTCGCACGAGGCAGACTCAAGCCGTGCAGGATGCGGTTCTGGGGGCAAGCGACTAGAACCAGGCAGGCGCGCCTGGCGCCAGTCCGAGCAGGCATTGGCTGCAGATTCCTCTCCACCATGTGGAGGGCGCCGTTCTCATCTTTGCCTGTTGGCTGACTGGTCGCATGGTGCTGTCTGCCAGAGACATCGATGTGTCAGGGTTACCGATCGCACGCCAACCGCTTCGCCCAGGAGTGTCTCAAGATGTGCACAGGAAACGCGCTGATGGACAATTTCAGAAGGCGTGAAGTTTAATGTATCCTCACCTCCGTCTCCCTCATAGGAGGGGAGGCTGCCATCACTGCCTTTTGTGTCACACCGGTGGTGAACTGCGTGGCCCTCCTCCTCCTCCTCCTCCTCCTCCTCCTCCTCCTCCACTTCTCTGCCTACCCCTTCCTCGACCTCACATAGCTGAAGCGTTTCTGGGCGGCGCCCGCCTTTGCATGGCCGATCGCGTTGGAGATTGACGCTTCGCGTGCTGTAGCGCTGCGCTTCGCCGTTCCTCCTTCTGCGCGAGAGACGTGCTGCACTTGTTCACTCAAGTAGTGCTGATTGAATCGAATCGTGTTCTCTTCTGCACTCTTGTAGATTTGCTTTTCCTCGGCCACCGAGGGCGCCGATACTTGCTTGCGATGTCAAGCACGCCGAGAGCATGCGTCATTGCCAGGGGCTATCGCAGACAAATCCTTCGAGCGACGCTCATCGTTTTCCACGTCAGGACTTTGTCATACGTGCCGTCCTTTTCTTGCTATTCCTGCCATCGTCTACTCAGGACGCTGGTCCTCCTCATCCTTGCCTTGTTTGTTATCCTCCTGCCTCTCGTCACCTTCGTCAGGACCTGTTCAGCTGTTTCCCCCCACTCATCCCCGCACACTCCAGATTTCGTAATAAAAGGGAGGAGGTCTCATTTCGGGGGGGGTCTCTTCCAGGCCATCTTGGAGGGCCTGGGGGGGGTCTGGGGACGATGTTTTGGAGGGTTCTCCCACAGGGGGGGGTCTGAAATGGCTTGTCTTGGAGGGTCCAGACCCCTCTCCCTTTTATCACGAAATCTGGAGTGCCTACTTTTCCCCATCGCGCCCTTCCGCCCCGCCCCACCCGTTCCTGCTGGGCCTGCCGAGGGAGGGAGAGAGAGGTCGAGAGCGGTGCGCCCAGACCTCGGGGTTTGAAAAAGCCTGCCACCTCTCCATTTCCTCCGTGAGCGTCGCTGGCGGTACCGGGAGGGCGGCAAAGGAGCCCGCCGGAGGCGAGCGATAGCAGGATTCAGGAGGGGAAAAAACACACAGACACAATGATTCGTCGATTCCCAGAACATGTGCGAAGATATGGGAAGTGGGGCTTCACCTTCATGCCCATGGTGGTGGAGGCCCCTGGCGGCGGGTGGGGCCGCGAGGCGCGCAGGGCCTTCGGGGTCCTGGCCAAGCGGGTGGCTGACGCCACGGGGGAAGACGCCTCTTTGATAGCAGACCAACACGCCCAGCGACTTTCCGTCTCCCTGCACAGGGAGAGCGCGCGGGCGGTGTTGCGGCGCCCCCAGACACAGTCTGGAGGGGCGGGAGTGGTCGTGGCCCGCCTGGCCGCGGCCACGGCGGCCTCCACGGCGGACGCCGTGTGAGCGCCGCCGGGCGCTGCTTAACGCCCCCTGCCCACTCCCCCCGCCCTGGCTGGGCAGCACGGGCGCCTCCCCCGTGTCCCTTCTTGCGGATGGCGTGCCGGCGCCCCCCCGCTCTGCCGGCCGTCCCTTCCTCGGCGGGGCGGTGGGTGATACCGCAAAGGTTCCCTCCCCACCAAGCCGCATCGTGCTGGGGTCTGTCAGCCCCCCCCCCCCCCGACGCCCTTCCCGACGCCCTTCCCGACGCCTTTCCCGGCGCCCACGGCCGACCCCGCCGACGCCCTTCTCGACGCCCTAACGCCCACAACCCCCCCCCCCGACGCCCTTCCCGACGCCCACGCCAGCCCCCCTGTCGCCGCCGTAGTGCCCGTAGGTTCGTCGCGGGCGCTGTTGCTGCGGCTGCCGCTGCTGCTGCTGCTGCTGCTGCTGCTGCTGCTGCTGCTGCTGCTCCTCCTCCTGCTCCTCCTCCTCCTCCTCCTCCTCCTCTTCCTCCCCCCTGCTTTCCCTCCGCTTCTGCTCGTTGCTTCCCTCCCTTTCCTTCCCTCCTGCTTCCTGCCTGCTGTTTCCGCCTGGCCCGTTTTCTGCCTGCCCGCCCGCCCCGCTGGCCCTGGCCTCCCGCCTGGGCGTTCGTCGTCGTCGTCTGCCTGCTTCTCCCCTCTTCACCCCCTTCCGCCGGACCGCGCTGCCTGCCCGGAATCACGAAGCGGGCTGCTGTCCCCAGCCACGCTGGCTTGTAGGTTCCTGCCGCAGGTTGGGGCGAGCCCGCTCTTGTCTACGAGACTTGCCCGGCGCCCGGACGTTTTGCGACCTCCCAAGTGGGGGGGGAAGACAAAAACTTAGAAACTATAGGAGAATATTGGGAATATTTGTATTTGTGAGTATTTATTTGTGTGTCCCAGGGCCCCTTCAAGGATGACTGCAGCAGCCGTGCCACCCTGGCTGCCGGAAGCGTCTGCCACGTCTCGCTCCCGTGCGCAAGCGCCGTTTGCGGTGCCAGGAGTGCGGCACGGAACCCACGAGAGGTGAGCGACAGCAGGATGGCCGAAGCAGCCGTGCTGTTTTGGTTCAGCCGTTTTTTAGAAAGCTGTTGGCCCCACCATGTGAGGCCGGCCACCTCATCTCCGCGCGTAAGGACAGACAGGCGCACCAATTGATTCCCCTTCTTCTCCGACGTGCGCACCGCCTCATAGGAAGTGGGCCTGCCAGCTGCTGGTGCCCCACAAGAGTTCCTGATTCCCCCACGTTCGTGGGCATCCTGCGAGGCCCAGGGT